TGTACTGACCAAATGTATATACAGTCTAACACCGTTGTGTCGAAGCTGAAGGCACACCTACGTAAATACTTTGATTTATCCAAGGTTGGACACAACCGAAAATGGTAAATAAATAAGGAATAAGGGACCTAACTTTTACTTCAAGGCAACAGTAAGTTTGACACATCAAAGTTTGACACAACAGTGTTTGTCTGTACAACTAGCAGCAAGTGAATGGGGTGGCTTCATATCACCAATATTCAGTTCAAGTTTCTCCCAGTGTCATGCATCAAACCCATGACAAACAGACACTTCAACCACTATGCTATCCTTAAACTGACAAAAATATGTTACAGAGTACAATTCCAATGTGCCATTTTGTCACTGACTCACCATCTTAATTGCGATGCAAATTGATGCAGTCAAGTGCTCACTGCTCTTGATAATGTATCCTAATTAGTCCGTGATTTCAGATTTGTTACAATAGCTAATGATAAGCTGTCTAGACTCGTGTGGCTCTTGTTTGTGCCGACCCGTGAAGATCCTGGGTAGATTAGGTCTTCAGCAACCAATGCTTGCTGTAAAAAGGCGACTATACTTGTTGTGAGAGGCGACTAAAAATTTCGGGTGGTCAAAGAAGTAAATTTGGGGATCATGAATAATTTTGGGGGATATTTTTTATCAAATTGTGTGCTCCGTCTTCACTACAAATTTTTTTTTTTATCCAAAAATATTCATAATCCCTAGCTTTTTTTCAGTATATGTAATCAAGTATTAGTACTTGTATTTATCAAACTTCCAATGGGGTAGACAAATGTTCATCATACCAGAGACCCAATAGTTGTGATTTGTCACAGACTCTTTGCTGTCATTCTTTGAGGAGCGAGGGGGTCTAAGGCGCCGCGATTCGCTGTGCAGAGTTATGTCCCTTGGGCATGCCAGAAACCTATGATTGTGGGTTCGAATCCCTGTTCGCCCTGATTATATTTCTAGGTTTGTCAGCACCATACCCGTGCTCGTGGGTTTCACCAAAGTGGTAAACATCTGAGACCTACATCACTTCGGGCTTTCCTCCCACATTAAGCTGACATACCGTGATATAACTGGAATACTGTTAAAAGCGGGGTAAAACCCAACTCACTCACTCAATTACTCTTCGAGGAGCGACATGAATAGTTCATAAATGGTCCAGAGCTGATAACAAGCTCTTCTTTTGATTAGGAACTGAAAACATTTCATGCCATTGATGAGGAACCCTTTATGGGTGTGTGTTGTGTAACGTCAAACTCAGTCATATTCCATCTATATGACGGCGATCTGTAAATAATCAAGTCTTTAACAGTGATTGACACTACGAGCATCGATCAATGCAGTTGGTATATAATGACATGCAATCAACAAATTCACCAAGCCTGACCACCCAATCCGTTTAGTCGCCTCAAGGATAAGCATCGACTGCTTGAGACCTATATTCTTACCCAGACTCCCACAGGTCTGAGCTCAGAGTACAAGACAGATGAACTGCGCAGGAAAATTAAACAAATCATGTGCTACATGGAATCATTTTTCCAGTGTTGGCTTGAAGGTGGACTAGTGGTAGATTGTCCGCCCGGAGAACAGAAAGTCCGGGGATTGATCCCCGGCCGTGTCATACCAAAAGACGTTAAAAGATGGTACTTGTTGTTACCCTGCCTGGTGCTCGGCATTAAGGAGCTAAATCTAGGACTGGTCGGCTCGGAGTCAGTATACTGTGTCTGTGTGGGATATTCATGTTAAACTGCGGCATGGTATCTCTGTGGTCTAGCACTACAAATCGGCATCAGTCAGAACTAGTACAAGCAGCCACACACACACACACACACTTCTCTGTATAAGTGCAATAATCTTGTTCAACCCCATTTCCCCTCACCTCACCGTCACCCTAATGCACTCTGTAATAGGCTCACTCTGCAGGCCTATTGGGTAAGCATGAGTTACAATGACATTAGGGCTCTGACTCTCAATCGGAACCTGGACATATGATATGCAGGTTATGTTCAAGCATGTTTATTTCCACTGAGACAATGTTTAGTTTGGCTGTATAGTAAGTAGGTCAGCAATATGTTGCCAGCAATGTGCATAAATACCTACCTTTTTGAAATAATGAAGTGCATAACTTAATGAGTGAGTGAGTGAGTTGGGTTTAACGCTGCTTTTAACATTATTCCAGTTATATCACGGCGTGTCAGCTTAATGTGGGAGGAAAGCCCGAAGTGATGCAGGTCTAAGATGTTTACCACTTCGGTGAAACCCATGAGCACGGGTATGGTGCTGACAAACCTAGAAACATAATTGGGGCAAACCGGGATTCGAACCCACAATCATAGGTTTCTGGCGTGCCCAAGGGACGCAACTCTGCACAGCGAATCGTGGCGCCTTAGACGACTGGGCCACCTGTGACCCCTGCATAACTTAATGGATCAGGTGGTTAGGCTCAGTGACATAGGTGATAGCATGCCATCATTCCTTGAAGGCGTGGTTTGTTGCTCATAATATCAATCACTGGATTGTCTAGTCCAAACTTGATTATTTCGAGGCATCATATTGCCGGAATATTTCTGAGAACAGCATTAAAAAACAAACACTGGTCATGTTGGTCGATAGACAGTCAACTTAAATGGGGATTACAGGTGAAAATGACAGCTAAGTATGAACAAGACAATGAACTGATTGGTTAGGGTAAAATTGTGAAAACTTCCCCCAACATTACGGTGACATGCCAGGACAATACTGTTCGTAAAAAAACAACTTCACTCACTCACCCTGGTGCTGACAGGTGTATGGCCTGCCAACTAAAGCTAATTGATTGACTGAAGTCATCTTGTATCAATGGCTGTCAATACTCCTTATAAAGGCAGTGTCATATGTGGATTGGGAAAAATGTAATTTATTGTGATTTTTAAGCCAGATTTGTCAAAAGCTTTATCTGGATCTACCAATAGTACTAAGTCTACATACTACTGGCAACAGCTGATTCAAAACTTATATTAAATCTTTTGACAATTTGTTAACTTAATGCATCCAAAGAATAATATTTGTGAAAGAGTTTCCATCTATTGAGAGTTATCCCTTGTAGGAATGGACATTTGTGAAAAAATTACAAATTCAATAGAATTTGCTTGTTAGAATGACAGTGAGTGAGTATATTTTTACGCCACTTTTAGCAATATTCCAGCATTATCACGGTGGGGGACACCAGAAATGGGCTTCACACATTGTACCCATGTCGGGTATAAGAATGACAGAATCTTAACATCCCATTTTAGGATAATAAGTACATGTTCAATAGAACTTGTTTTGTAAGAAGGACAGGATTTTTATGGTTCATCTCATCAAGGTGATACGATTAATAATTCTGCCCTCTTGAGTAGTACTTGAGGGTGAGGCTGTTGACAAAGCAACTCTCTGATAAGTGTAACTCTTCCTTCTCCTTTGTGTGTGGGTACAGATGACAACTTGTGTTTGTCAACTGTGGCCGCTCAGCCGTTGTGACCCATGTTTGCCCAGAATGTTTGACAGTAAAGATTGCATTTACTTGCGGGATATTTGTCGCCGGGAAAAATATTTTAATGGCATGTCAAGATTTTGTGCATCTTCATTTGAAACGGTCATCATTTTTGGTGTCATTAATTGACTTTGTCATGGGAAAATTGTTTACTTATACCAAGGGAGTGTTGATGTGAATGATGAAATATTTAAAGTTTGAAAATATATTATGCTTTTGTCTGATGTATGTTTGTTATGAGATATTTTAATATGAAAAAGTGAAGGTTGTAGTTTTTAAATATCAACTACCTTTTTCAATGCCAATTTGAAGTTTATTCATAAGTGTATTTCAACATATTTTTCAGAATGTTGTTCCTTTGATAAACAACATCTGACATTTTTGCAAGTAGATATGGACATGCTGTCAAATTGACAGGCGAGAAACTATGTTAAATATGTAACTTTTGCAAAAATTGTTGTGGCTATTCAGATGAGTCAGTCTTGAAAGACATGTTTTCTTCCTCTCACAGAGCTCCAGATAAGCTGCGTATCTGCGTAAAATATGCATCAGAAATGCAGAAATTTGCAGTAAAATAAAATCCAAGCGTATCAAATACGCAACGAACATTACAGATAGGCTACAAAAATAAAACTTGTGCGTATCATCAAAATATTGTGAAGTAACCCTGCGTATTCGATTAGCAAATCAGCAACTCATTTTGAATTTATAAACGGGCATTCCGTCAACCTTGCCAAATTCCACGATGACAGTTACATCATGATCATTTGCCATCACACTTTCTTGTGGAAGTATCGTGGTATTTTTGAGTCCTATAAAGCTCTCGAACCCACGAGACACCAGTTTGCAGGGACTAGATGAATAGTGTTTTTAAATATTTAACTGAAATACCCACATGTGTAAAAGCTAGTGGGTAACAGAAATTTGAATACCCAGATAGAATTACTGATACCCAATGATTTTAAAATGCATGAGTAAAATACCCACAACACCAAAAGCTTATCTGGAGCTCTGCTCTCAGATTACTATGGTGAGAATAAAATTAACATATTAATTTTGAATAAATATCAATGGTAGAAACTGACATATTTTGTCCACTAGTCCCTACAATGATAACATACAGCAAAACCCTTAAAAATGGCAAAATTGTACTAGTCCTTATGATACCTTAACTATTGGGCAGTTTGGCAAGGACTACAGGACTAGTGCCAATTTCTAACGCTGAAATATATACATTCATATCACTACCATTGTATGCGCACGTTTTACAAATGACAGAATTGTTTTGATAAATTCCTTGCTTGAATGGACCAAGGGAAATAACTCTAGTGAAACAACCTATAGTCAGTTTCAGAATATCCTTTTGAATTGGAACTCACCATGCAAGCTTAAATAAGTTTTTGTTTTCTTGAAAGGTAATAGAGAATTATTGAACAGCTTTTAGAAAATCTTTAAATGTATACTTTGTTTGTTTCAGTGTTGCATTCGTCACCTGTCTTCCCGGCAAGACCCCCACCACCATTACAAGGCTGTGTGTCGTGCAGTGGTCACCGAGGCTCAAGAGCTCATCACATTCCTCGATAAAATATCATCAGATCAGAAGGTATTATCATTTATATTATTTCCATATTTCATACGCTACAAAAAAGTATAAAAGTATATTTTAAAAATCATCACATTCTCAAACTTTGTTGCCTCCTGAAATTGTTTACAATTATATGGGTTTTTGGTTCATTCATGCATATATACTCATAAATATACACTCTGTGTTAACTTCCCAAAATATGTATGTTTCTTAATATTTGAAAATGTCTTACATTGTGGGGGAGACATGATAAAAAATGAAGGCTTTTATGAATGCTTCATGTAAATTTGATAAATGTTAAAAAAGTGATCTATTTACATTTTACTCAAACAAAAAAATTCACGAATAAATAAGAGACTTTCTGATGACTTCATTCACAGCACAAACATATTTCAATTTTTAAGATTTAACAAAAATTAGAATTAAACTTTGATCTAGTGTTCAAGGCTAACTGTAAGGACAGATGCCAAGATGAGAAAAAGAAAACGTACATCTATATTCTTATTTACTCACCAACTTCTAGCATGCCAATCAAACAGTTACGATGAAGATGTTTCAAATAAATTATCCCGGTTCCCCGGTTCGCCCCTATGTTTCTAGGTTTGTCAGCACCTTACCCGTGCTCGTGGGTTTAACTGAGGTGGTAAATGTCTGAAACCTGCATCACTTCGGGCTTTCCTCCCAAATTAAGCTGACACGCTGTGATATAACTGGAATACTGTTAAAAGCGGCGTTTAACCCAACTCACTCACACACTCACTCAAATATATTACATGGATTAAAGCAAACAACACTCAAATTCTCCGAAGACCATGTTCTTTTCAATATGAGGAGAATATATATATATATTTTTAAAAGGTGATTTTCTTTAAAAACGTGTAAATATTGTGTTGCAATGACTAAACAAAACATGCCAGCGTGCCATGCCCTCTTACAACGCAGAGACTGAATTTGTCAAGATGGGAATCACTATTGTGACAAGCCCTGTTCAAATCAGCAATCATTTCCAAGTCTTGTTGGCTAGTTAGGTTTGCTTGTGTAACGTTTCTTCAAAGAAACGGCTCGATAAGCAAATGTCTCAATGGTTTCACTGTAAATGTATCTACTCTAGTGCCAAATCTAAGCTAAATACTACGTCTTGGAAGTTCAAAATGTGATTATTTGTTTCAAGGGATTATGTCAAGCTTGAAGCTGTTTTAGTTGTTCTTGGTCGTCATGCTGCTGAGAACATTCAAAGAAAAACCTGGTGTGTCTACTTTGTATGTGATTTGGAGCTGCTGTGCGATCCTCGAATGACAAACAACAAAGTCTTATATAAAATGTGTTGCCTTTCAAAAGCAGCTTTTACAAGAATAGCTGAAATTTAAGTACTGGGCTGAAATTTCACTCTTTATTTAAAGAAATATTTACATGATATTTACGTAATATTTTTCTGGAACTGTTGAGTGAAAATTTGCTTGTACTTTTAGTGTTTTCTATAAAACATTACCTCATTTTGTAATTATTCATATTTAGTGTTTATTTTGTGTTTATCTGTTATTTAAACTCAACATAACATAACAGTAAATGACCAATTTTCTCTGTATTACCTTTGCAGACAGATTAATTTGATTTACTGTAGAAAACTAATTATGGTCTAACTGACAGCAGTATTAACATTCGTGATTGGAATTAAAGCAATTGTATGTTTAGATCTTAAAAAGGAGACAAAACTATTGTCATTGGAAAACATTGTGAACTGTTGTATTTCAATAATGTGAAAAAACATTGATGGCTCAAGGTATTGTTACCTATATAGCTAGTGACCTCAAATGCTGATTAAACCCAGGTCCAAAGCTTGAATAAAATCTTGAAATCTGTACTAGAAGCCATTCTTTATTTGCTTGAAGTAGCACAATTTTTAAAGTCTGAATGTACTCATGGTCTTCTGTGTTGTGATTTTTTTCAAACAAATACAAAACAGAAAAAATATAAAAATGATTTTATACACGTTATTCAAACGAAATAATGTATTTTTGAAATGATCAACATGACATGCAATTAGTTGAAAAAAGTAGAAAAATTACTAGTTTCACATTTCCTGAACGCCATCTAATTTCCTTGTAGTGCATTGAGAAATCCTGATTCCAGCACTCTGGTAGCTGTCTAAAGAGGCAGTGAAAATTCTTCCTCAAATCATTTACCTCTCATCCAACACGTGCTGTGTTGTTGTACGTGAAAAACCGTCCTCTGAGACACTTTGAGACATTTAGGTTATCACCGCAATGTTGGCACTCTTCTCAACTTGGAGGAGAGATTCTCATGGCTGTTGGTTGAGCTTACTCGAATCTTAACTCGCGTAGCAATGTGACAATGGATTGAAGCATCGCTTGAAGGTGCTACATTCTTAAAGAAATCTGCTAATCCTTGCTTATAAACTTTAAGCAAGGCAGAGATATGTGTGTTTGTACTTGAGGAATTATTCTTAGGAGTTTGTCATGAACGTGAGAGTTCAGGTGCAGACAGTGTGAGCATTTGGCCGCCGAGTACGAATATGTTTGTGGACGTTTCCTTGTTGTATAATATTTGTTTTTAATCTGGCTCCCAAGAGATGTGACTGAAATTGTCTCTTTATTTGTTTAAGAAATCAACATCATGTTTTTTTAGTTGAATCTCCATCTTATTCAAATAGAACTTGTCATTGATGTGTGTTGCGGATATTATTTGTGTAAAGAATCCTTTTACGTGGATGAAAAAGAAGTGATGAGTGCAAAATTTGAAAACACAGATCTCTGCCAAAGACTTAATTTCAAGCAAGAACTTTGGCATAATTCATGTCACATGAAAGTGCGCGTTCCATATATTCTTCAGTTGTGTACAGTGACTTAGGTAAACTGTATCAGTCCATGACTTTAGCCACTAGTCTGAAGCCCGTGTCTAGTAACATTCTGCTCAGTCTGGTAAGATCAGCTTATAAAAGTGCACATGGTAACACTAAAATATACAGAAAAATGATGCAAAGAGCCAAGTTCAAGCTCGTAAACTTAAAAGTTTTGGCACACAGCACCTTATTGAAACTCTACCCTTTCCAATCCCACCAACCCGAGTCTACCCATCCCACCCATCCTCCTCCTGAACTCTGCCCTGCCCTGCCCTGCCCTGCCCTGCCCTGCCCTGCCCTGCCCTGCCCTGCCCTGCCCTGCCCTGCCCCAACTCTCTCTCCCCCCCGCCACCCATTAAAGAAAAAAACCCAAACCAAACCCCCCCATTCCACCTCACTCCACCCCACCCCAACCCTCCCCAACCCTCCCTACACCAAACTCTATTCTACCCTACCCTACCCTACCCTACCCTACAAGACCTTATGCTACAAAAGCTGTTCCTATCCTGCCCTTCAATACCTACTCTACAAACACTACCCTCCCCAACCCATAATTTAATATTCATTTGCAGGGCATGTAAATTAAAAATTAATTTTTCTATAGACATTTAAAACATTCAGTGTTGTTATATGTGGTAATAAATATCCTGTTTACAGAACCTTGCTAAGAAGAAGGAAGCACCTGATGTCGACACTGTTGAAGAACTGCAGAGATCTGATTGGGTGAGTACTGTTGTTTGTTGTCATGGTCACCTCCCACGATCCGAAGTCTCTTCAGCCCCTTCAGCCCCTCAGGGAGGCTATTGCTGGTATGTTCATTATTTCCTTTAAGAATCAATACATTATTTCAGTGTGAGGTTAATAGTTTCACATGTGCAATCTCTGCATGTCAGTGATGAGAGTCCGTTTCACAAGTGCCTTGACACTGTGTCATCAGCACCATGAAGCCCCACGTCAGTACTTTAATCTGTGCAGCAATGTTTCTTGAAACAATGGCTATTAGGACACCATGTAACTATTGACACCTTAGAAACCATGTAACCAGTAATTGGATACCAGGACACCTTGGCTTATATTGCAAGGGACACCACACCACCAATAGCTCGACACGTAGGAGAACATGACACCAAATAGCTAGACACCCAGAAGACCATGCCACCAATAGTTAGACACCTAGGAGAGCATGACACCAATAGCTAGACACCTAAGAGAGCATGACGCCAATAGCTAGACACTCAGGAGAGCATGACACCAATAGCTAGACACCTAGGAGAGCATGACACCAATAGCTAGACACTCAGGAGAGTATGACACCAATAGCTAGACACCTAAGAGAGCATGACACCAATAGCTAGACACTCAGGAGAGCATGACACCAATAGCTAGACACCTAGGGGAGCTTGATACCAATAGCTAGACACCTAGGAGAGCATGACACCAATAGCTAGACACCTAGGAGAGCATGACACCAATAGCTAGAGACCTTGGAGAGCATGACACCAATAGCTAGACACCTAGGAGAGCATGACACCAATAGCTAGACACTCAGGAGAGCATGACACCAATAGCTAGACACCTAGGAGAGCATGACACCAATAGTTAGACATCAAGAAAACTATCACACGAATAGTGAAACACTTACGAGACCATGCCACAAGTATCACTACACGTAGGACCATACATCATCAATAGCTGATCTAAACACCCAAAACACCCTTATACCATTCGCTAGACACCTTTAAGACCATGGGCCCGTGAAGATAGAATAGAATAGGTCTTCAGCATCCCATGCTTGCCATACAAGGTGACTATGCTTGTCGTAAAAGGCGACTAACGGTATTGGGTGGTCAGGCTCGCTGACTTGGTTGATGCATGTCATCGATCCCAATTGCGTGGATCTATGCTCATGATGTCAATCACTGGATTGTCTGGTCCAGACTCGATTATTTACAGACCACCGTCATATAGCTGGAATATTGCTGAGTGCGGCATTAAACAACAAAGCAAGCAAGCAACCAACCAACTTTAAGACCATGACACAGAAACCTAAGTCACCTATGACACCAACAGCGATATGCCTTTGACACTATCTCATCAATAGCTTTACACCTATGATGGAAATATCTAGATACCTATGACACCATGCTATCAGTAGTTAAACACCCAGGAAACCATGGCACGGAAAGCTAAACTTCTAGGACAGCATGACACCATTAATACATGTAGCTTTCAATACAACTGGAAGCCATATGATTAATAATACTCTTTGCACAATGCTAAGACATTGTTAGACATTGTTTGGATGTGATCATTTTGCACTCCATCTTCCCCCCCATTGTGTTCCAGGCTCGTCTGTGGGTGCAGATTATGCGACAACTCCGTAATGGAGTTCGGTTAAAGAAAGTCGAACATGTGGTCCTGCCACAGGATGAGTTCGAGCTCACGCCATTTGAGATTCTTTTGGAAGACATCCGATCTCGGAGATACAATCTCAACAGAATAATGGTGAGTGGGAGCGGCAGTATACACCTTGTGATGGAGATTAAGACAATGAGCATTGCTCAGGAAATTATTGTTAACATACTTTTTTCGAAATTGCAAATGAACAGAATTGTTGTAAAATAATTATAATTTGGTGTGGTTTCGGGAGTGAAATTTAATATCATATCATATTTGTCTGCTCTTTGTTTTGTCTTTTGAAAGATTGACTTAATCATATTTGGAGGTGTGTTAATTTTACAAGTTCCACATTTCTCTTTCTGGTTCACAGTCACTTATCTCCCTGTTTTGTGCATGAGAAAAGTTGCAGCATCAACTAATGCCTAATCTGCAACTTAAAATAACTTTTCTATGTTTTGCATCAACCTTCCACTTTCTTATTTTACTTCAAAACTTGAATTATTTGCACCTTTTCAGCTGGTTGTCACACCCATTAATTGTTTGCATGAAAATCAATGATCACAACCTTTGTGAATGCAGTTAAATTATGAGGCCATTACAACCCCAAATAACCCCTCATCATTCTTCAGGATAAATCCATTTTGACAGGTCTCAACTCCAGACAATAGTGCATACTCTGTTCCTGGATAGATCAATTCTGGAGACTTCTTTTAGAGCCAGAGAAGCAAGTGATGTTGGTGGCATTTTGATTTAAAACTCGCCATCAACATTCATTATCCTGCTTGATCAAAGCTAATGCAAGGCATCCAATCTTGCCGTTGTCCTTGTTGAAAACTTTGAACCCCATAGTACTTTTTGAAATCATTATTTTATTTCTAAAGGGTTATGTTTGGCAATGAAGGCCATTATAGTCAAAATAATTTAAGATATGGAAGTCTTTCTGGTCCATAACAGCTGAATTATGCGTATTCAGTTTCATCGAATAATAGGGATAGCTCTGTCAAAAATTGAGTGGTGCAGTTTTGTAATGAAGATGTTTCTATTTTATTTGTTTATTTCTATTTTTTAGATTTTTCTTTTGAAAAACAGTTTTTACTATGCGAGTTGAACTGTCATGAGATTTAGCCATGTCTGTCATGCTTTGACCCTGTTGCCATGCTGCCATGCTCTCTTACATGTCTGTCTGTCTGTCCATCCTCCTCAGGTCAATGGTACCTTTCCCCCTAAAGTGAAGAATGATGCTCATGCCGTCATACTGGACTTTATTCGGTCTCGACCGCCCCTCAGAAGTGTGAGTATTTTACTTCTTGTTTTTGTCCATCTGGTTTGGGTTGAGGGTTAGCCAAGTGGTCCCAGCACTTGTCATCATGCTAATAAACCGTGTCAATTCCTAATGCCAGAATGTTTTTAAAAAAAAAATATGTTTAGGTTGAAGATTGAAATGATATAAAAAAAAATCAATTTCAAATAGATATTTTAATTTCTCCAAAATGTTAAGTTGGTAGGGTAACAGTGGTGGTTGGATGACTAGGGAGTCGTCAAAATTTGTTGTGTTTTATAGTTTTTGAGAAACAACAGGTATTAATCATAGTATTTTAGTAATTTAATTATGTTGATAGCTACAATAAATTAGGATGGCATTTTACATTATATGGAATAAAAAAAAAAACCACACTGCTTTTTATTGTGTTTTTTTTAATATTTCAATTTTTGGGAGTTGGCATATTTGTAAACCAAATGTTATAACAAAGTTTGGCCCCAACATGGCTGCGACGTTGCTGAGATGTGGGTGATGTCAAGTTACAGTTACTCTCTTCATTGTGTTCCCCCTCTAAATCTGAGATCCCTGGAATATTGCCAAAAGCAGCATTATGCCTCACTCACTCTAGACATATACCCAGTGGATTGATTGTGTACTGGTTTGCTGTTAGCAAGAATCAAGTGAAATGCATGAAAAAAATATGAATGCTTGGTGTTTCAACATCACTTTTATTGTTTTTTGTTTACATATGGCAAAACTTTGGTCATATCTTACTGCAAATAGCTGCAAGAATGCTGATGCAGTGTTAAACAATAATCACTCACTCACTGATGCATGTTTCTGACCTGATAAAAGCTCTTGTAGGGGAGATAACTCTTGAGTATTCTCAATACTAAGGCTGACAGGTTTTATGGATATGCTTTTTCAGTATCAAATATCAGATGCTACAATTTATCTTAATTCAAAATGTTGAATGCATTTCATCAAAAAAATAATCCTTCATATCCCACACACTATTGAAAATTGAAAATTGTCATTCTTACATTCTAAGAGTTATCTCCCTTGGGAAGTCACATGGATTTTCCTGACATTGTAAGCTTGTGTTTCGTGCTTGCATTGCATGCTGATTAATCCTACATCTATCTGAGCCTGGCTGTGTAAGTGATGCTTCACCTCCAGGACAGGGTTTATAGCATGTTATAAAAGATTTGCCGTTTGCTCCCAGTGTCAGCAGCTTATGTCAGATTAGCTGTAAGATGAAGATTTGCTGATGACAGAAATAGCCTTCAGCAGGTGCTCTTGTCTTAAAGTGATACAGCTCTGTGGGGATTCTGTGTTAGAAGTGGTCCCCAGCAGTCTAAGAGGTGACTTAATGGATAGGTTGGTCAGGCTGCGTGTCTTGGTTGACTGCGTGTCACTGTACCCTGATGACGTGGATTGTTGCTCATAATATCAACCACTTGGTTGTCTGGGTGCAGCATTAGAAACTAACATTTTTGGTCCACTAGTCCTTATAATGATAATATATAGCAAAACCCTGTGCCGAGTGCCACATTAAACAACAAGATAATGACTGAATAAAATTTGAACTTTGTTCAAGATTTATTAGGGGAAAATGGGAACAAGATATGTTGACTGTTGAAGTTTACAAGTGTTTTACGTGATTTTAACTATTATTTCAACATTGATTCAAATAAAATAAAATAGACTTTCTCCTGAATAAGTTTTGCTAGCAGCATTTCTTCTTTCTGAAGACTACCAAACAGCTTCGAAATCCATTCATAGTAATTCCTAGATCCATTTTCCAAATATAACACAGACATTCACAGATATTAAGGTTCTATTCCTGTCCCTAATACCCTCCACTAGAAAGTGCTGACAAGACAATCAATAAACACTGAGATGAGCTTCCACATAATGCAGCCTATTGAACACGATGTCCAGAACAGCAGCCCTTCAAGGCTGGAGCTCGCTCAAGTGAATTCTACAGCCATCTAATTAAGTCCAGGTATCAGTTTAAACGAAGGGCCTGCGTCTCGTGTGTACAGACAAATGAACAGAAAGTATGCAAGAGTGTTTGTACGTAGGATGATGCACGTTTATTCTGGCGATCATATAACCACTTGTTTGGATGTGCTGGAGACTTAGGGTTAAACTTTTGTTGAAATTTTTCTGTCTGTTTGTGTACATCAGACAATCTCTCCTACCATTTTTTGTGATGTTAGTGACTCCTTTGCATCTTGTGTTTAGCAGTGGTGTAATGGATACCTGTGATATTTGGTAACAAGTGGCCTTGGCAGTGTCATAAAAGTGTCATGGCGAAATGTGATAGCATTAACTGAAGGATGGATGAACAAGCATCATACTGTTTCAGTAGATTGTGGTTTAATTGCTGTCGTCAGCCTAAAGTACCCCAGCACATCCTTAAGTGGGTTGCTGTGAAGAGTTATGTCCCTTGGGCATGCCAGAAACTATGATCATGGGTTCGAATCCCGATTAGCCCTGATTATGTTTCTAGATTTGTCAGCACCATACCCGTGCTTGTGGGTTTCACCAAACTTGTAAACATCTAAGACCTGCATCACTTCAGGCTTTCCTCCCATAGCTGTCAAATGGAGTTAAACCCAGCTCACTCACTTCTTCAGTGGGCTAACCCCTGGTAGTTGCAAGAGCTAACGAAGGACATCTTCCTGAAGTAAGGGAGTTAACTGATTAAATTCAGTTTCCACCCTTGCCGCGTTAGGCCAAAATTATGGAGTTATATTTGGCTGGAAAAACGATTCTATGCATAGTCCAATCAAATCCTGTAAATGAAACCAACATCCTGTTCATAAACAACATGGCAACCGCCGTGACGGATTCATTTGATTGCAGGATTTGCAGAGCATGTGTGTACCGTCAATTGGGCGTCAACAAATATTTCTTGTTTTTAATCATGGTGCTCAAGTGATTTGATGCACTTCACAAGGTAAAACCCATTTTGTTACAGTAAAGATCTTTGTTATAGATGACATAGACTTTACTTGGCGCCACCATTTTGTTTGCAAAAGATATGAGAGGTGGAATCTGATTGGTCAGTAGGGAGGATATAGAAGGGACATAACTCACAATAGCCAATGGTGGCACTACAATCGAGCCCAGAAATTACAGCCTAGTTCGGCGAGGGTGGATACCTGACTTTTACAGTCAGTTAACTCCCGAGCCTCTGGAAGATGACGAAGGATGGTGTCTGGTAGTTGCAATGTGTGACCTGGCTGATCCTGTTAATATGTCCCCCAAAAGACGATTGTTGCTCATGATGTCAACCACTGGTTTAAATGGCCTAGATAAGTACAATGTGACAGCTTGAATATTGTAGAGTGTGATCTTTTTGTCTGCTTCAAGTTGAAAAATATGTTTGTAAAATTAGAAGTATGATGTAAAGATTTGTAACTGATTATAAATTTGAAGTGTGAATGAGTTGTCTTTTATGCGAATGTAAACTGTATTTCAGTTATATCACAGGAGGTCAACTTGATTCGGGTCGCAAGTTTTTACCACTTTTGTCAAACACACTATCATCTGGATAAATCTGGGATCCTTACCCAAACAATAGGCTCCTGGCTAAACTCTGCAAAGCGTTATAGATGACTAACCTAGTCATACCCTGGACAAGTAGAAAAACTATAAATAGACTTGAGAAAGTATTCAGGGATTTTGAGACGGTCCCTGTCCTCCCCCGCTTGCATGCGTACATTTCAGTCTCAGCTGTTCCCTGCTGTCTGTGTCCGGTTCATGTCATATAATGAATGGTCCCTGCCTACATGTCACGATCGCACACATTGTTCCTCTCACGTCCATTTCAACCATCAGGTGCTCACTTGCGACCACCATGAACCTATGTATGTATCACAGACTTTCATTTCTGTAAATACTGTTTGCTGTAATACTGCTCTTGTATGGTTTCTTGCTGTCTGTCCAACGTTGGAATTTGTTTTGTATATTTTAAAGTAGAAACATATGACTGGAAGTGATTATTTGATATATATTTGGTCATTACTTTGCTTGCAGTTGTAACAATTTAGTAAATCATGACATTTTGTTTTCCCTTCAAAATTTCTTTGTAAGATTGAAGTCATTAATTTTATCCCTTTGTGGATAAAAAACTAAAAAATGCTTGAAGTTGTTAGGGAAATGTTTTTCAATGATATTAGCAATATATATACCTGCATTACAATTATAATAGAATAACCATAAATACATGTGTAATAAAAATCCATCCCAACATGGAATATATTGCCTGAAGTAATTGTTAAGGAAATATGTTTCTCATTTATATCAGCAATATATCTGCAGTTAAATCATATCATGATATGATTAATTTATGTGTCATATAATGTGTGTTGATTTCGAGCAGGGTTATTTTAAAAATATGATTACAGCAGTCACATGGATAAAAAGCCCAGTGTCTTGCAGTTCCCGTATTCCTTTTAAGAATGTTTAGGATGTTTACAGCAGTAGGTCAAGTTTTACTTGTACACATCAGGTAGCCTTGTCCAGTATGGGTCCCACCCAGAGAATCTACAGTGAGAGTGATCTACACAACTGATTTGTAAACATATAATATGAATAGGAGAGCTACCTGCACTACACTACCCAGTCTCCCCAGAGGAGTATTTACATATTTCGGGAGGAAAGTGTTCTGTATCTATTGAGTTTTTATTCAAACATTGGCGGAGTATTTTTACATAACAGTTATCCAGAAGTTTGACTCTAAGTATCGGATTTAGTTCTGCCTGTTAGCTTGGTAAGTGAAATTTGAATGGCATCTAGTAAAGGAATGTTTGTGGGAGAATGTGGGAGAGCTATTTTCACCCAGTTCTAATGAGATTTAAGTTTGTTGGGAGTATGATGTTCATGTTGTTTGAATACTTAAAGAGAAACGTGCTGTTGATTGGAAGAAAGTGCTGTTTGGTGACCTTTCTTTGGGAATGGGGCGTTGTTTTCAGGGTTTTTGAGTGTAATTTGATTGAAATCAGAGTTTCAATATT